GTCCTGCTTCGTGCCCTCGGACTTGCTCAGTTGATTGTAACAGTTGTCAGGCTGTCTGTGGACCTGTGCCACCACTTCCGCCTCCACCACCTAAGGTCCAGAAGCCTAAGAAAGTGGAATGCAAGGACAAGAAGTTCCCTTCTTGCCACAACAAGCCTCTTTTCTGTCCTGCTTCTTGTCCGCGTAGTTGCAGTGTTGATTGTGCAACCTGTCAGCCTGTTTGTCATGCTGTCAAATCACCGCCTTTATCTAGCCCCAAGCGTGTTAGGTGTATGAACAAGAAGTATCCGGCTTGCTATTACAGGGAGTTCACTTGCCCTGCTGCATGCCCTCAGACCTGTCAGGTTGACAGTGTCACTTGCAGTCCTGTTTGCAGTAAGCTAGCTCATCTCATTATCCTTACTGTCTAATTCTTCTTAAACTTACAGCAATACAGCATTGTCATTAGTAGTTGCACATTGTGAATAAAGAGTTGCACGCTTTAAAAGCACGCGAATTAAGACCAAAACATCATGAAGCACCTAGAACTTTTAATGAAATTAGTCCTTTGATTATAAATTAATCAGCTAACAACAATGTATGTAACAGTGTAAATTGAGTCCTAGTACCAGTTCTACAGTTCTACCTTTAATCATAGACAAGTATACATTTTGTTAAACTAGTAATTTTGAAAACATTATGTCGTCATACAAGCACCTATACAAATGTGCAGTGTCTGAACAAAGTTACTAAATTCTCGATTTGCATCAAATGCAGACTGCAACAAACCCGGAGCAGTGTGTGAGGATCCAAGGTTCATTGGAGCAGATGGTATAACATTCTATTTCCATGGAAAAAAAGACCAAGATTTCTGCCTTGTTACAGACTCCAATCTCCACATTAACGCTCGCTTCATTGGCAAGCGCGACTCCAACATGGGAAGGGACTTCACTTGGGTTCAGTCCTTAGGCATCCTCTTTGACAACCACAAACTCTACATAGGAGCTCAGAAAACTGCCACTTGGAACGATGCCCTGGACCGTCTCTCACTTTCCTATGATGACCACCCCATCAGCCTCCTAGAGACCGAGGGTGCAAGCTGGAAATCCACAGCTGGTGGTGTAACCATCACAAGGTCTAGACCCACAAACGCGGTTGAGGTTGAGGCAGAGGGCAAGTTCAAAATCAAGGCCGTGGTTGTCCCAATCACGGATAAGGATTCCTTGATCCACAAGTACGGGATAACCCCTCAAGAGGACTGCTTTGCACACCTTGACTTGAGCTTCAAGTTTAACTCCTTAAGTGATGAAGTAAATGGTGTGTTAGGCCAAACCTATGGAAGCAACTACACGAGTCGAGTTAAAATGGGAGTAGCTAATCCTGTCCTTGGAGGGGATAAGAAATTCCACTCCTCAAGCATGTTTGCTACTGATTGCGCTGTTGCACGGTTCAATGGTAATGGAAATGAGAATGAGGGTTCTTATGCAGGAATTGAGTTTGCTGATCTTAACTGTGCTTCTGGCATAAGTGGCAGCGGAGTTGTCTGCAAACGCTGATAAAATTCTTAAACACTGATATATTAATTAATTTCATTACAATATCAAAACGTTGTTAAATTGTGTGAATGTTTGTTGTACTAGATAATGTTACAACATTATCAATTGATGTACACCATTGTATAATAAAGCTATAATTTTTTTTAAAGTGTGTTACTCTGTATGTTCTTATTAACAGCCTCTGAAGTCTGAAATGGTTCCAATAATGGACTGCCCCATAAATAGCCCCCACATGACCATATCACAAGTCTGGTGGTTACCGCGATTCAAGTATCTGATATATGGAGCCCCAGCCCAAATGACCTTGAGAGATCAAGCTAAGATTTCCTATGAATGGGCTATTCTTAATTATGATTATATAGTCCATAGCTATGTAATTAAAGTAATTAAGTTTGATCTTAATGTATTTCTTTGTTTGCAAGAGATGATTTGATTAAGTTATTCCACTAGCTACATTTAGCTAGCTAGATATCAGTACTTGTAAGAAATCTCTTTGGACTCATTTTATTTTGGATCCCATATATAGTGGCCTCCTTAATGGTTATTAAGCGATCTAGTTTACAATAATTGGTGACAAAATCTCTACGAATGTATTTCTAAAAATTTTAAAGACCTGTTTTCGTGCTATATTACTATATACTGTAATACTTTATTCAAAAAATAAAATAAAAAATAAATATAATACTCCGATTTTGTAAATTATCCTAATTTTTAATTCTATTTTTTGTGATTCTAGTGTGTACATCCGTATCCGTTTCCATACAACCTAGCTAATTTAGGCGGTTAATTTTTTTAATAAAAAGTTAAGGCCTCAAGGGTTTCCTATTTTGCTCTTATTTGTCCTTATCCTTAGCTTACAAGTCTACAACCATGCATACATAACACTAATTAAAGAACTTAAATATGGCTTGTCATGTACGTTGAAACACTTCATAAACAATGTAAAACAACATGCATGAAATATTTTCCACTTGAACATAAACTGGACCGAAAGCCATGCATGGACGGGTTACTTCTTTTAACTAGTTTATTTACGATTTAATTGATTCTCCCAATAACAGTTGACTTAAATTAGCTTGCAAATGTTAACGGTCTAGGCTTCATAATATTTCAAGCCATTGACCTAAACAATGGATTTTAAACGAGATAGGAGGCTAGAGTACTTGACCGATTCTCCGACTTGTAGGCATGAGGCCAGGGGTCAAACCTCACCAAGCAATTTTAGGAGGGATTTCCCTTACATCCCCTTCCAAGATGGGCCTTCTCCTTACAAAAAAAAACAAAAACAATGGATTTTGAACGCATTAATTAATGAGCTTTTAATTATATATGGAAGTAGAAATGCATTTTTTAGGTTCTTTCATTCTTTTACTTCGAGGTCTTATTAATGTACATTAGGAGCCATATGAGAATATTTCACATTTTATTATGTAGTTGGTTGTGATCTGTATATATGTTGTTGTATATATTAGCAAATTGATTGAGTGGTATGAGAAATTGATTATTATCCACAATATCTAAGAAAAATATTGGCAACTAATTAAGGTCACAGCTATGTTCATTCCACTTTAAATTATGATTAACTAAGGGTGTCTTTATCGCAAGTTTGAAGCGGAATCTCAAGAAGAGTCTCATGCAAGACTTTGGCGATAATGTCATAAAAGACTATCATGAGTCTTGTTTCGGGGTTTTCTGAGGTGTCCTGCGGGAGAGTTACGATTCCGAGACTGAGCTGCCGATGCCTGTACCTGCAAGATCACGAAGACTCTGGTTGGTAGGAGTTCCGCCTCCGACGATCAAGTTAGTATACGTACAGGAGGTAAAAGTACGAAAATGGTAAAGTGTTTCTCGCTGATTGGGAGAATTCCGCAATTAATATTGCTCGGTAATTGTGTTTGTATTTATGAATGTCCCATTAATGAGGTTTGTCCCACTATTTATAGTGGGACAGACAAGTCCCCATGTAGGGTTCCAAGGACACGTGTCAACAGGGGATTGGAGCCCTGTTGACTAATGGCAATACGCCACGTGTCACCAGCCCATTGGGCCACGTGTCTAGGGTATTTTTACCCTAAACAAGTCTTGCATGCGATTTGGCAAGATGAAAACTCATCTCAAGACTATGCATGTGGGGCAATAAGCTGACAAATTTTGCATGGCCCAATAATATATATATTGCCAACTCATCATCACAAGTTAAAATTAAACTTATAAAAGAAATAGATTTATAAATAAATTAATGTTAGTATATAGGAGGATAAGTGAGTTTGGAGTGAGTTTTGGGATAATGTGTGAAAATAGAGAGTCTTATGTAAGTCTGAATAATAAAAAAAAAAAGTAATTAAAAATTAGTGAAAAACTGATGTGGCAAAGTTTGTAGTGTGAGTCTAAGTCTGAGTCCGAGGATAAATTTACCCTTAATTATAAGAACGAACTTAAGACTTAAATGTTTCACCGTATATTGAGTCCCACTGTTGGTTAAGCTATGGCACATGACCTTGATAATTATCTACCTATTGTTATAAGTTGACTTTCATAAACAACATATACAATCAGGTAATCAACTGATTTTCTCCTGTAGTTCAATTTAAATGACATAAATTATAATCTAATAGCTATCAACACATACACTACATGAAGAAGGCAATGGATAATAAAGGGGTTTTGACTACAATAGTACCATGTTTATTAACACAATTACGATGGTGCTTCATTTACCTTTTAATTCTTAAAATTGTGTCAAAATCCTTTAATTATTCATATATGAGTCATCACACATTAGAGAAATATATATATATATATATATATATATATATATATATATATATATATATATATATATATATATATATATATCACCTTTAAGCAAGAGGAGTTATACCTACCTACGCAGTATAATATAATATTAGCTTTGTAAAATCTCCCGTCCTTTATTTGAAGGGAGTACTAAAATCCCACATTTAATAAGGTGGTTGTCAAATTTTCCTTATTAGGAAGGTTCTTATTAGAAGATGTTGTAATTATTTCATGTACTCTTTTCAGTCTTTTGTGAAAATTTGGGATGTTTAGACTATTAATTTCGCTAGGATGAATACTACAAAGCCAAAACATATTTAAATTTATAGTTTTTTCTTAAAAAAAAAATTAGAAACAATATTACTTTGCCTACCTATCTATTATTTTCCAGATCTCTTTATAATGCTATCTTCAAATTATTATGAGTGAAAAATAATACTCAGTATATGTAAGAGAAAAGTGATTTTACATACAATCTTTGGAGAGCAAGTGAAGAAAAGAAATTAGCTTTGTTTCTATACGCAATACTAATATGTACAACTTCAGAAAACTAATTAAGATACAATTTAGTTTAAAAAATGAAGCTGAAAGGAAGGTCCTCTCCATGTGAAAACTAGAGTAGAATACCATTAAAGGAACGCCATTAACAGAATATTACTTCTACTTAAAAACAACATTAAAAATTAGGATATGCATCCTATTAACTCCACTATAAAAAGAAACATACAAGCATTGGAATTCTCATCACTTAAACATTAATCTCTATCTTAAACACCTTCCCTTCTAAATATTTTCAATAATCAGTTTGTAAAAAGTTCCGCGAAAATGAAGCTTTCGCGGACTAGAGTGACGGCTGTCATCCTCCTCCTTGTCTTGGCAGTGGCCGAGGCAGCGGCCGTTGATTACACTACCCCGGGTGATCAAACTACTACCAGTCCTACCACTCCCACCAAGGAGCCTAAGGATTCCGATGTCTCATCCAAAGAACCAAAGGAGCCCAAAGATAAGGAACCCAAAGAGCCTAAAGACAAGGAGCCCAAAGATAAGGAACCCAAAGAGCCTAAAGATAAGGAGCCCAAAGAGCCTAAAGCGCCGGGGGGTACTCCACCTTATACCCCTCCATCACCACCCACGCCCACCCCATCTCCACCAACACCCACCCCATCGCCACCCACTCCCACCCCGTCCCCACCAACACCCACCCCATCGCCACCCACTCCCACCCCGTCCCCACCAATACCCACCCCATCGCCACCCACTCCCACCCCGTCCACACCAACACCCACCCCATCGCCACCCACTCCCACCCCGTCCACACCAACACCCACCCCATCGCCACCCACTCCCACCCCGTCCACACCAACACCCACCCCGTCCCCACCAACACCCACCCCATCGCCACCCACTCCCACCCCGTCCCCACCAACACCCACCCCATCGCCACCCACACCCACCCCGTCCCCACCAACACCAACCCCGACTTCATCCTCTAGTCCTAAGCAAGTAAGGTGCATGGACAGGTACTATTCATCTTGCTACTACAGGCAGTTTACTTGTCCTGCTGCATGTGCTGATACTTGCCAAGTTGACTGTGTTACTTGTAGTCCTGTTTGTGGTAAGTTTCAATTTTATACTCCTTTACTCAATTAATTATTTAGTTGATCATCAATTAATATAGCTTTAAAAATTTGTACATTTTATTTTCAAAATTAAGCATTCCAAACCAGTCTAAAGATAATGTTCTACACCTTCTAGTTGCATTTTAGTCCTAAGCAAAATAAATAAATAAATATAAATCATTCATGGAAAGTTTGTCAATATTTTTTCAAAGAATTACGTAAATTAAATTTAAAGCATTTTATGAACCAAAATTTAAGAGTAATTCATCTAGAAACTTTGGCTAATAATATAAGGTTACATAGTAAATTAATCATAAAGTTTAGTTTCTAATTAATTTGGATGATACACATATATACAGATTGCAACAAGCCAGGTGCAGTGTGCCAAGACCCAAGGTTCGTAGGAGCTGATGGAATTACATTTTACTTCCACGGTAAGAAAGACCAAGATTTTTGTCTAGTCTCCGACTCCAACCTCCACATCAACGCTCACTTCATCGGAAAGCGGACCGCCACCATGGGAAGAGACTTCACCTGGGTCCAAGCCCTGGGTCTCCTCTTCAACAACCACAAGATCTACCTCGGAGCCCAAAAGACCGCCACATGGAACGATGCCATTGACCGTATCTCCCTCTCCTTCGACGGCCAACCCATTGACCTCCCAGAAGAGGAAGGTGCCAGCTGGCAATCACCAGCTGGCGATGTTTCCATCACCAGAGCTAGGGCTACAAACGCGGTAGTGATTGAGGCCGAGGGTAACTTCAAGATCAAGGCAGTGGTTGTCCCAATCACCGAAAAAGATTCCTTGATCCACAAGTATGGAGTAACCCAAGAAGATTGTTTAGCTCATCTTGACTTGAGCTTCAAGTTTAAGTCATTGAGTAGACAAGTCAACGGTGTTTTAGGTCAAACTTACGCAAGTAACTACGTTAGTAGGGTTAAGATGGGTGTCGCAATGCCCGTCTTAGGAGGAGAAAAGGAGTTCCATTCATCTTCTATCTTCGCTACCGATTGCGCCGTAGCTAGATTCAATGGAAGTGGGATTGAGAGCTCTGAAGAGAGTATTGAGTTTGCTGATCTTAACTGTGCTTCTGGTTTCAGTGGACGTGGAGTTGTTTGCAAGCGTTAATGCATGAACTAACTAATTATGAGTAGCATATAATATATGTTATTACTCATCTAATCATTTATTATTATTTGATTGTTAATGAATTATATATGTGTTTCTGTGTGGCATAGTCATATTTCGAATGAATTTGATTATACAATAAAAGAAAATTGTGAGTCTTGTAGTGTGTAATTCACCACTGATTTACTATCAATAATGAATTGTTCCTTTTCGGCAAATGTTCCTTTTTTATTTCAGACTATATGTAGTTGTCTTTCAGCGTATGTTTAATAAATAAATGGAGAAATTAAAAAGGAATTAAAGTAGAAATAAGCGAATTTACAATGGACGACAAAACCACTAGCTCATACTCGTATCACTTGGCCATTTATCTAGGAAGACCGTTAATAATGATTCAAGCCATTTATCTTTCTTTTTTTTTTTTTTTTTTTTTTGAAGAATTCAAGCCATTTATCTAGAAAGACTGTTAGTTAATAATGATTGAAGTAACTAGCGGTGCGATTTATCTAATAAATAGATTTTGAGTTGCTGCCCACCAGCAGTTCGAATTGTGTAAATAGTGAAAGATGATCTCAAAGTAGGGTCAAATTTTTGTAAATAGTGAAAGATGATCTACCTTAGAGTGGGGACAAAGAGTACTTCCTGTTAGGTTTTACATCAATTCTACTATAAGAATTACTTAAGTTTGTAGGAACAAAACCTAAAATAAAGTATAATTTTAACTAAATTATACAATAATCAATACTAATTAAAGTATTACAAACCAAGCACTAAAATATCAATAAATAACAGAACACTAATGTGAAAGATACTAAAACTTGCCTCAATTCCAAGCCTTTATAAATAAACATGAACATGAGAATTACTATGACCACTTGAGTCTCAAACCTTGATTCTCTGTCTTAGGAGTGTATACACTTTCCTAAAGAAGTTAATTTCCCGCACAACGGTGCTTGGGTTAATCCGGAAATCCTCTTTGAGATACAAAAGACAGCACTTCGTTATTTACACAAAGAGACGAAATTAGATGATCAAATTCACAAATTTGGCTAAATTTATAGTGTTTTCCAATGACAAGTTTGCAAGATTTCTCAAAGGAAATTGTGGAGAATATATTTTTTGGAGAGGAAGATCCAGGGAAAATTGAAAAAATCCTTTTCTTTCTTCTTTTATTTTTTCAATTAAAAGAACGAAAGCATCATCATCGTAGGCCGCAGGCGCGACTAAGTGCCGCGGGCGCGGACAGGGTGAATTTCGATTCACCCTAGAATTTCTGGAGATGTCTGGCCGTGCCCTAAGAGAGGTCTCTCCCCAGACCCTTATGCCGTGGGCGCGGCATCTCGCTCCTCACATACACTCTAAATTTTCTAACACTTCCTCTATTTTCCGCTATTTTATTGGCTTTTCATTTTCATCCATGTTTTTAAGTTCTATGTACTTTTTGTTCCTTTTATAGCAACTTTTATTCACTTTTTTTTTTATATATATATAATTTTTTTATCATTTATAATGCCTCAGATCACTTAGTTGGACCCAATTGTCTATAATTTAATAAATCTCCTACTATAAAAAAACTCTTCTCTATAAAGCAAAAGTATTTACATACATGACTAGCTTTTAGTTTTTACTTTTCCTTGAATTCTATAAATACATCAACTGAGTAGTAAAACAAAAGGAGTAAAATTGAAAGAAAGAAAAGTAGGGTGGATGTGAGTCAAAATAATGTTCAAACAAACAAATGAAGAAAAAAAAAAACCTTATTGTTTTTGAATACATGCATCACTTTGACTTTTACTCTATTTATAAACAAAGTTTTAACTTTTATAATAAATTATTATTAATTAATATATAAATGTTACTCCGTATTGGAATAGTCATAATCTAATATTTTTCATAAATTTTTTTTATTTTATAGTTTTAGTTAGTAAAAATAATTGTCAAAATTATACATTGATTTGTGTATTTGTCAAAACTAATACACTTATTCGGAAATGGTGTAATTAGGATGAGGATTAGGATGTGTTGAACTGCCTAGTGCCTATAGAGATTATGAATTCGACAACACATTTTATATACACATGGGTGCATATAAAGATAAGTATATGTAGAGATAAGTGCAATCAAGGGTAGTTTTTCTGCTCAATATCTTTTATTTTTTCTCATTTTAAGATTTTTAAAATGAACAAAAAATATTAAAGTGAATAAAAATTAGCCTTTAATACACCTTGCATCCGGTGTATAAATTTTTTTTTTTTTGTTAGTTTGGTTTCGGGTAGAAGCCCACCACCGCAATATCCGTACATGGTAATTTACAGCTTGATTTTGGGTCGTGTGATGATTGTTCATTTGGGCCTCAGTGATGGGCTAATGCCCACGTAGGCTGATATCTATGTGGGCTGTAATTTGCAACCTCACCACCTTCACTAATTCAAAAAGAAAAAGACAAAGACGAAGAGCAAAGCTATAAAGATTTATATACGAAGTCATAAAATTTCAAACTTTTTAATTAAAAGGCAGTTGGAAAGGTGACATAACTAAATATTTCGATAGTAAATTCAAGTACAATTCAACACATGTGCCAAAGGGCCCAAACCGTATTGTCATGGAATGTGTTTAAAGTTGAGATGAGTACTCCGTAGTATATATAAATGATACTCTCTTTATTCTGTCTATTGAGTTTTTTGGCATCTAATTTTGAAAATTTAGACAATAAATTTTCACTAACTTAATGATACCTTCTTTTTTCTCTTGATATAACTAATCTATGTAATATATGAAGAGAAGAGGTGTTTTTGGTTGGGAATTTTTGAGTGGACCATTTTACCCTCTCTACAAATATTTATTATAATTAAAAAAAATTAAAATGTATTTAAAATATAACTTTCATTTTTAACTACTCCATAAATTTAAAAAGATAACTTCTCTTATGGTGGTTATTTTTTCTCATATCAAATAATTCCTTCAAGTGTAGTTATGTTAGACGGTATATTAGTTTAATTCGAGAATATTTATTTGATGATATAAATTTGACACTTGGTGTTTTAAAAGTCGATGTTTGTAAGTTTGCATAGGTTTTTTCAACTTTTATATAAATATAAAAGCAACATACTATAATTTAATTAGTAGTACGAATATTTACATTGTACACATATTTTAAAAGTGTGTATAATTTAAATGATACAAGTATAGAGGCACACACAATGCATGCACGACTATTCCCTTTAAATTTACGTAATCATTTGAAAATATAATACCTTGAATGGGTTCAATTCATCCTTTAGAAAAATGAGTATGTATGTAATTGTAGAACTAATATAACAAATGCACTATAAAATTTAAGATTGTTTTGCATGGTTAAAAGCTAATCCCTTTAATGGATTCTTACCTTTACTAATTATAAAAAATACGGAGTAATAAAATTATGTCAATATATATGCTACGTACGCAAATAAGTAAATTATAAAGATAACTTTATGCACAAAGTATAACGAGGGAGGATAGTCGTGCACGCATTGTGTACGCCTCTAAACTTGTTAACGATAACTGAAACCAAACCCATTGAATGAATTTTTTTATGTAAAGTATGTGGAATTTATTTGAATAGCGTCTTAAAAGTTGAGGAAAATTAAATGTATTGCGTACTTGGGGTAACTTCTTGCACATCAAATGTTAAGCTAAGCAAATTAAATAAATTATTGCAACTAATTCACCTAATCTTAACTGATGTAAAATTTTTTAATTTGTTCTAATATGGTTTCAGATTTAACCAAATCAAATCTTATAAATTTTTTTAATTAGGACCGTTTTACCATTATAAAACTATTGAGTAAGGTCAAGGGGTGAGAAATGTTTGAATAGTAAGGTTAAATACTTTCCGTGACTCACAAAAGTGGTCTTATGATAATAAGACAATCTATGTTTTTTTGTGCTTTGAGTTATTCACGATAAATTAGTGTTTGGATATATGGATAGGTTTACCTAGGGTTTCATAAGACGTACAATTTTGTTGAAATTCACCATCCTTAATCATACATTAGTCCGTATGTAAGATTAAAAATAATCAAATGAAATATATTTGATTCTCATTATTTATGAAATTAAAATTATTTAACAATAAATAAACATATATAATAAGATGTAGTCTAATTAATATTGAAATTAGTAAATAATTGCGTGCCAAGGTCAATATTTGTTATTTTAGTGGATGTCAATTAGTTTGTTGAATAAAAATTTTAGGGGCCGTATGCAATATGGAGTAATTGAGATCAAATCCTGTCTACGGAATAAATCACTGCTTTTAGGGCTCTTTCTCCATCGAACTTTATTTATTTATAATTTATTGTACTCTATACTCATTTCATTTTGCAATTAACTTACTTTTTTTTTCTCTCTCTTAAATACTTCAACTCTCTTTCTCCACCATTTTTTTTTTTTTTTGGTGTTGTACTTTATACCCATTTCATTTTGCAATTAGCGTACAACGAAGTGGATATAAATACTAGTGTACTACAGTACATTGGAGAGCCACCACCAATAGACTCTAATATTTTTTTTCTCTTAAATTATTTCTAGTATTTATCACCTTGATATCATTATTTACAGATGGAAGTTGGAGATGGAGTCGAGTTTCTTTGCAACAAAACTCTTTTAATCACCGGCGCCAATGGCTTCCTGGCAAAGGGTGATAACCTTAGCAAGTTTTGACTAGAGCTAATTTTACTGCAAACAAATATGCGCATTTTTTACAAATATATATATATATATATATATATATATATATATATATATATATATATATATATATATATATTCTACCTCCGTTAAATGTTACGTGCAACTAATGGAGGATTTGCGGAATCCAATGCAAAATTTAAGGGGCAAAGATTAGAGAAAGTTAAGGAACTTGTGGTATGTAATTAAGGTGGAGAGAGATTAATTAATCAAAACCCACTGCCACCACCAAGATCAGGCAACACCACCTTCACCAACACCATCGTCGCCTTCACCACCACCACTACCATCCCCATGAAACCACCACCACTACCAACCCCACAAAACCACCACCATTACCAACCCCACGAAACCACTACCACCCCCATGAGATGAATCTATTTAATGCAGCTATCCTACCAGTCAATTTCTGAACATCTTTAAGATTTCTAGGTGATTAAAGATTAATAATGGGGCGTACCTAATTTGGCTAGCCTCGATTCCCCGT